ATCCTCGATTTATCCTCCAATGATCTCACTTCCTCTTTTGCATTCCACTGGTTATTTAACCTTAGTGCAAGTCTTACTTACATAGATCTCTCCTATAATCGATTAGACGGTCCTATTCCTGATGCCTTTGGAGAATTGATTTTTCTTGAGAAGCTTTTTTTGAATAACAATACGTTCCGCCGGGAGGGGTGGGTTGTTCCAAAATCTTTGGGAAATTTAAGTCATTTATATTATCTAGACATATCATACAATGAATTAAACGGTCCCTTGACAGATGTTACCAAATTTTCATCCTTAAAATTTTTGATCCTTAACAACAATAAGCTGAATGGGTTTCACCCACACAGCCCTGGGCTACCTTCAAGTCTTGAAAGTTCAGAGTTATTTGACAACCAATTTAGAAGGCTACGTGAAGGTACTGAGAAACTTTCCAATCTCCAATATTTACGAATGTCTTCAAATTTGTTGGAAGGTACAATCACTGAATGGAACCTCTCAAACTTTGCCACCTTAAAATACCTAGATTTATCCTTAAACTCCTTGACTTTCAACTTGAGCTCAGATTGGATTCCTCATTTTCAATTGGAAGCAATATTGATCAGCCATTGCTATTTGGGGCCTCATTTTCCAAATTGGATTCAAACTCAGAGTACTCTTGAAATTCTTGATCTCTTTTTTGCTGGTATATCAGATGCATTTCCTAATTGGTTGTGGACTATGTCTTTATTTAGATTAGATCTTTCTCATAACAATATTAGTGGTAAAATTTCTAATTTGTCCTCAAAATTGATTCTTCGTGAAGTTGTAGATTTAAGTTATAACAATTTGTCAGGTCCAATTCCATTATTTCTTTTTCTTTCTGGAGAATTAAAACTGTCCAAAAATATATTTTCGAGATCCATTTTTCAATTATGCACAATTCCTAAGGCCTCCATCATCCTCGTGCTTGATCTCTCTGATAACCAATTGGAAGGAGAACTTCCTAATTGCTGGTTGAACATGACGTATTTATCTATTCTGGATTTGGCAAATAATAAGTTCTTAGGTAAAATTTCCCCCACTTTGTGCAGTTTGTATAAGCTTGAAGTATTACACTTGCGCAAAAAATTTCATTGATGAATTGCCTTCAACTTTGAGGAACTGCACTAGACTGAGAACGCTTGATGTGGGAGATAACAAGTTAACAGGTAATATTCCAACATGGACAGGAACGCATTTAACAAGTTTGACAGTTCATAGCCTTCGACGGAATGAATTTGGTGGAGTCACGCCTTCAACAATTTGTCGCCTTCCAATATCCATGTCTTGGACCTTTCTAGAAACAATATTTCAGGAAGAATATCACGGTGTTTAAACAATATTACTGCTTTGGCTCAGAAGAACAGTTCAATTGAATATGGTGATTGGAAATTTTACCATCGTTACAATCCTGATTATGTTAACAACGCTTTTGTTCAATGGAAAGGACAAGATCCAGAACACAAAACACTAGGACTTTTGAAAGGCATTGATCTTTCTAGAAATAAGCTTTTTGGACCTATTCCTCAAGAGTTTTCTGCTTTAAGGGGTTTAGTTTTCTTGAACTTATCTAGAAATCATTTGACTAGAAATATCATTTCAAACATTGGTCAAATGGAGAAGTTAGAATGTCTTGACTTGTCTCAAAACCAGCTTTCAGGGAAGATACCGAACAACCTTGCACATCTAAATTTTCTCGGTGTTTTGGATTTATCATACAATAATTTGACGGGAAAGATTCTTTTGGGCACTCAACTACAAAGCTTCAACTCCTCTATGTATGCTGGTAATAGCCAACTCTGTGGAGATATTTCTAATAGTTATGTGATTGATCACAGAAAGGGAAATATTTTTGAAGAAGATGACGGGTTTATAATTCGCCATTTTTACATTTGCATGGCATTTGATTTCATTACTGGATTTTGGGTAGTTGTTATAACTCTATTCCTCAAGCATTCTTGGAGACATTCCTACTTCAACTTTTGGAATAACGTTGGAAACTGGATGTACATGACAACAACAATCTATGTGACAAGATTCAAGATAAAATTTCAGACCTAAAGGTAAACATTTAAATTTACTTGCTCAATCTGGTTGTTATATATCCAAATCTTGACTTGGTTTGATATTGAAATCAGGAGTCCCTTCTGGGTAACAAGAAAGTGTTGACTATCATTCAAACAAGTTGTTGGCTGGAGAGGTGCAGGGACTATGCATGGCAGTGTTTCTATTCTAGTTATCGCCATTGTCTTATTTTCTAAGTATTTTTAACAATAATATCAATTCGTGAGATCTCAATCCATACAAATAACTAGCTTTGTTGTTCTTAATCATTGGAGTAAAAATAAATTTCAATGGAGATAGAGAATATTGCTTGATTAATTAGTTGGTTTAGCTATTTTTATTCAAGTATATGACTTATTTAATTTGTATGTACTAAAAAACTCAAGCCACTTTCTAGATTCGTTAGTGCAAAATGCAATTAAGTGAAAAGTAAATCTTGAACTCCACTATATGTTGGAAATACTCGATTGTATGCTAATAAAATAGTGAGGGTCCATTAATGCTTTAGGGAAAAATGCAAAGAACAACATTTTGAAATCTAAATTTATTTATCACTTAGCCTTGACTGCTGAGGTGCTAATGAGAATATATAGATAATGTTGCTTAAAACTGTATGTTCTTTACGGAGCAAACACACAACTATAGTTGTTTTCCCACAATGGAGGCTTATGTTCACTTAAAACCGGCCTCTAAAACACTTTAAATAGTACGAATAGTGGAATTTAATACATAATATGGAATACTCAATATACCCAATAATAAGTAGATCCTTAATCGAGGGTTAATATGTAGTGTAGTATACTAGAGGGACCCCTCAAATGCCATTTACAGAAGGGTACAAAAAGAATGTTAAATTTTGAGCAGAATACTCCTGGATTTGATCTTTTGAGGTTATTGGTTCTGTATAGGGCTCTTAGCACACTTCATATGTGCATCAAGATCACTCAAACTACAACGATATAGCCAGTGACTCGAACGCATGAATTTGATTAACACAAACCATGTCAAATTTTGTGCAGTTTTATGATCGTAGTAGCTGCAGAAGTCATATATTTATGGATTCGGTCTTTATTTTCGAGTATTATTTAATCCAACACATCAAATTTTATGATTGACATGAAAAAAATTTGTAGTTAGTAATAGATATTAATCCCCCTAACGGAAGAAAATATGCCGAAGCAAATCAAATAATACTATGCAAGATCAAAGATTAATATTTGCCAATGATAGATTATACTTTTCGATAAAAACCACCACCAAAACTAATTCTTTATTTCGTAGTTGTAATAAAACTGTGTAGTAACTAGTAGCCAGTTGCAGCCACAGTTTCTTTAATTTAAGCCCTCAGAAGTCATTAATCATAAAAACCAACCACTATGAATTCTTTCACATGTAACATCATAGCTATAGTTGATTTTGTCCTTGCTTACCACTTGGCACAATCATAGAAACCTCCTAGTCAATTAGAGCCAATCGGAAACTGGATGGACTTGGTGCATCGTACGCCCTCAGGCATCATCATCAACTCATCATCTGTCAAGTTGAATCTATGTGGTGATCAAATTTCTTTGAAAAACCATACTCAAAGAAATTGTGTATATGATCAACATACAACTTGACATAGTAGACTAGTATCTATGCCCGTCTATGAAGTCAATGTATTTAACCCCTCCCCCCTACCCGGCCCTCCCATAGAATGTCTTTTTTAGGACAAATTTACGAGATTTGGATAGATTTTTGGGCAATTCTTTCAATATAATATTAATGACGAAAGTTTGGTAAATAATCATTTTCCCTAAACCGTCAATTCTATCCTCCATACGTTTCACATGTCACGCTAAAAGTGATATTTTTACAAAAGCCACCAATGTTGACTTCGATTTTAGTCCGTCTCTTGTCAGAATTGGTCATTTATTTTGAGTAACGCTCCTTGCACAGAGTTAGGTGACAAGCTTTCTGATAGGTGTTGTGTTGATAGTACGTGTGTGACTCCTTTTTTTCTTCAAATTGTTCAATGAAAATTTGACACGTATTATCCTATTTTTAACTCCTATCACTCACCCTGTTTGTGTACCAAAGCTCATGTATTTTACATTAAAGAAACAAAATGGAACCCACTTCACTTACAAATAATCGATTTTTCCAAGAAATAGCTCGACCACACAAAGTCATTTTCTTAAGTCAATGCCCTATTTATTTTGCATAAATTTAAGAAGAATATACAATAGACAACTCATTCTTTGTTTCTCACTCCATAAGTCTAGGTCAAAGAACATGATTATTTTAAGCCCAAAATATTGACATCTTGAATCAGTCCGATGTTGCCTTTGTTAGTTGGTTGTGTACATAAATGATATATGCTCATAGGTGAAAGATGAAATTAAAAGTAGAAGAGCAGGGAGAAGGGAAAAACAATAATGGAATACAAGCATTTAAAGGGTAGACATCATGGTCCTTGAGAAGATTGATCGAAAATATTTTTCTATTCTTATCGTTCCTCATTTTAGTTGCTTTATTTACTTCAATTTAGTTTCCAACTTGCCCCACGTATAAGTCGAATTCATTTTTCATAGCATGACACATGGACGATTTTTGCTCACGTTTGGCAAAACTTAAATTATAATTTAAGCTAATTAAACATACTTTTATTTATATATTTCATAGGATCTAAAATTATTACTCATTTTTAATTCACACATTTTATAGAATTCACAACTTGTAATCACTTATAACACTCATGGATGCATAACTATGAACTTGAGTTTGGAATCTTTGTCTACCGTCATACTATGTAGGACCACTTATCTCAAAACTTTTTTTTTTTTGCTTCAATTCGAGAAGGGATTGTAACTTACTATCTGTAATGCCCCGAAATCTATTTCATTTTTTTTTAAAAAAAGGACTTCAAGTGTCGCCTAAAAAAAAAAAAACCTTCTTTTTCTAATTTAAGCGAAAATTTCCTTTTTATTCAAAATTTGAAAATTTGATCATAGGTCGATAAAGATAAACAAACAATCTAAGCGAAAAAATTCACATTAAATAAAGTCTTAAGAAACTACGATTTCAAACCATCAATGTAAATTTAACATAAAATGCCAAATGTTCAAATGAAAAAAAAGAAAAAGAAAAGCTAAATAATGTGCACAAAATTTAACATAAGGATGTTCTTCAAACAAGACAAAAGAAAATTTGCAAATTATCATTTCTAGTAATTTTACTTGGCGACCCCATAAGCATTACTCTATCAATTTGCCATGCATCTACACGTCTAATCATAATTTGAAAAGTTATTATAAGAATGAGTATTTTGAAAATAGTCAATAATTTTTTTTGCATATTCTTATTAGCACGATATAAATTTAAAATGACATACCGACTTTTCTTAAATTTAAAGCAAATTGATCGTGATATTCAATAGCTCAAGGAATTTCTTAAGAATTTCTATTTCTCGTAGGATTTACCAATTTGACTAAATGGTCTATTCCGTAGGATTTAACATATAAATCGACCCGGAGGCCTTATAGTATTTCATGCTAAAATTTATATAAACATCAAGAAAGAAGATTTTCACCACTTTGCACTATGTATTATTACTTTAATTGATACTCAAAGATATCTGAAATTGCAAATAATGATGATGTGAAATTTTCTTAATAGTGTATGTATGAAGCGAAATTGCAAAGAATGAAGTGGTGTAAATTTTTTTAAGTGAAAATAATATTCTACTTATGTATACGTAAATGTAAAATCCATCAACCAAAAAGTCAAAACATCCCGAGTCAAAATTGTAAAAATTCAGGAATTAACTGAGTCAATTTATTGCCTCCATCAATCAATCAATCAAACATTTGTGACTTAAATGTAGAATTCTACAATGGATTATTCTCAGTGTACAGAAAAAAATTCACAGAATGTTTACAGGCCCTCACATGGGTGTGGGTCCCATGTGAATATTTTATTGTAAAAAATAAACTACCCACCCCACTATTGAGTCTTATCTGTAATACTTCTGTGAAGTTTCTCCCTGTAAGTGTAGCTTGAATCTTCAACAATTTCATTAATTAATTTATTAATGCAATTCAAATTGATATTAACGTTTTCGAACAATTGACGGTACAAGTTTTTTAAAATGTTAAGATAACCACTTTCTTTTTATTAGAGTAACTCGAACATAATTAGCTCAAAATTACTTTTCCTTGAGGCCAAATTATATTATTTAACACGAGCTACAAAATGAGTATATTATCGATATATTTTTATCAACTTCTAAAATACCTAAATATTCGATCCAAATAACTTACAATAAATTTTAAAAAGTACACGTAAGCAAATAAATCATTTATGTAAATAAGTGGGTCAAGTTTATCACTTCAATTTTTAGACTTTAGTGTGACGACAAGGCTGGCCATGGAGGATTTCATTTTCTAGATGGCCAACATTAAATTTAGCCCGTATGAAAATATAATTAAAATTCTGAGTGTCACATCCCTTTTTCTTAAAATAATTTCGTCCCCGAAATTACCTTGTTTAGTTGAAAAACTCTGGACACTTGCTTTTATTTCCTCTTCTTTATCTCAAATAGCCTCTTTGACTCCAAGAATTTTCCATCAAGCCTAAACAAAGACAATTTCTTTATTCTTTAATGTATGTACTTTCCTTTCGATAATATCCAAAGGGGCCTCTTCGCACGTCAATTCTTATGTACTTTTAATTAGTCATAGCTTATAACATATTTGGGATCATGCACATACTTTTTTAAGCATTGATACGTAAAATACATTATGCATCGCTGACAGCCAAGTGGCAATGCTAGAAGTTACGCCACATTTCCATTTTTGTATAGAATTTCAAAAGGGCCTATAAATCGAGATTTCAACTTTTCCTTTTTACCAAATCTAAGAACCTATTTTATTGGTGCCACATCTAGAAACACTTTCTCACCGACTTCAAATTCTATCGATTTCTTTCATTGATCTACATATCTTGAGTAGACTTTATTTTGTCTCAATTGCTTGCACTGTCCTTGCAATGATTCTGGACCCAAAGCTTGTTTTTCTTCGACTTCATCCCAATAAACTGGGGATCTATATCTTCTACCATAGAGGACTTCATAAAGAGCCATGCCAATAGTAGCATGAAAGCTATTATTGTATGCAAACTCCACTAATGATGTGTATGGTTCCTAGCTACCTCCTAA